CACGTTATACTAAAACAGAACGTAGTCAATGAGCACTCAGTTAGGCTGTCGTCCAGTGATGCTTTACCAAATGTTTTATCTTGCAGTTCATAAAAAAGATTAAATAGAAACTATTCTTAAATGTTTTTCTCAAACAAACAAACAAAAGAAATCCTCCCCCAAAACCAAACACCAAACACAACACCCCAAAATAAGCAAACAAAAACCCCAAAACAAAAAAACCCCAAACTTAAATCTCCCTTAAATAAAAAGATTGAGGAAATCCGAGAGGTCCCACTGTGTGACTAATGGATGGAACTGATGAGATAAAAATGGTTAATTACATAAGATAATAAAACTTTATTCTGTTTCGTCCTGATAAGCAGCATAATGAGTGCCTTTGCCAAATGCAAGTGGCTTTAATTACCTGCTGCTCTCTCTGTAGAGTCTATTCCAGCTCCGCTGTCACCTGCTGCCAGCCAGGTCAGTCCGTTGCTCTGTGGGAGTTTGGAAGAAGAGTCTCCCTTCCCTTCCTTTGCCCAGGTAAGCCACGTAGCAGAGTAAATCTTGTCAGAACGACTTGTGTCTTAGTTGGGGATTAGTCTGAGAACACAATTGCTTCCGCCGCCAAAACAACGTGGGATAAATCTTGGGGAGATAACACAGGGTTTGAGTGCTTGAAGGGGTTCCCAGATTTTCTTGCCGCTTAGGGGCTATGCAGGACTGTTCTAGTAGGGGGGATTTAATCCTATCTTACAACTTTTTTGATAGATGTTGAGAGTTGGAAAGGCAAAACCAGAAACATGGCCCAAACCTGCTCCAAAGGCAAGAGGTAAGAAAATTTGGTATTACTACTGCAGGTTCTTTACCAGGCATCTAAATCTAAGAAATCTTGTAACTTCACAAGAAACATCTGGCGTGCGGAGGGGCATTTGCACTGTGAAACTTCGACGCAGCCTTCTGCCTCTCAAGGCCCTTTCCCTCTTTCAGATGAGAACACCCTGGCACTCCCCGTGCCAGTGGATAGCGATGGAGAAAGTGACAGCTCTGACCGCATACCTGTGCCCAGCTTCCAGAACTCCTTCAGCCAAGCTATTGAGGCAGCCCTCCTGAAACTGGACAAACCGTCCACAGCTGATCCTTTATCAGGTAAAAGGCGGGGGGGAAGGCATGAAAAATTTCTGAAGTGAAAAAATTGAATATTTCCCCTTCTTCCTCTGAGAGGAGTGAGAGCAGCAGTCTTGGGGACCAAAAATTGGCTGCAGAACAGTTCTGAAAATTGTCAGGTTGTGGTTTCTGAACAGCTTGACTAGGGCTTCTGTTAGCTTAAAACAGCTCTCTTAGTGGGAGCTGAGATGATCTCCAGCTAGCAAAGAATCCCGTTAGAACAAAGGTGGCTTTCAACAGTCACGTTTGCCATGTCTCTACTGGAACTTAACTTCCTTGAGTTAAGCTTAAATTCAGGTTATGCACTTTTAAACTAAAAATACCTGAGCTGCTGGACTACCGCTGAAGTTTGACCAAAATGTCCCGGTAACTGCTAGCTGAAACTTCAAATTAGGGAGTCTGAAACAAATTGAGATGCACTTAAACCTCCAAGCCTGGTGCTGGCTGATAAAACTCATTTACAGTGCTCAGTTCTGATGTTTGGCTTTGGCTTCTGCTTGGAGACTGCACTTGAACGATGGCGGGAGTTGGACAGGAGGGCCCGGGAGTTCCCGTGAAGTTGAGTATCAGCTCCAGTTGTGGTGGCTTTTGGACATGGATGAAAGCGATACCTGTCCGAAAGGCAAACTGCTGCACACTAGGATCCGCTGCTGTCCTAGGATCCGCTGTTGCACCAGCAACTTTGGAATCAGTTAGGCGTGTTTATAGTGTGTTTTAGGTGTGATGGAGTTTCCCTTAGTTTGTCTGCAGTAATTTTTTTGTTAAACTACCTGGTGCTCAGTGAGTGGATAGGAAGTGTCACGGACCTGTAGAAGTCATTTAGGCTAGGGAAGACCATTTATCATTTCTGTGTGATGTTCCTGTTCCATGAGAAGAATGACAGTATCATTTTAATTCTTCACAGAGGAAAAGGGAGGCAAGAAAAGAAAGAAACAGAAGCAGAAGCTATTGTTCAGCACCTCTGTTGTTCACACAAAGTGATTCTGCTATTCAAGAGAAGTTTCCTCTCCTGGTTTTCTTTTCATTTTGCTTTGTTTTGCTGCTATAGTTTAAGTATTTAAATTTGAACAGACTAAACTTGTGTTTCCAGGGCTTCTAGGGGGTTCAGGAGGAAACCATGACAGTTTATGTTGAAGTAAGATCTTTTGATTCCAACTGCTTAATCGGTTTATACCGAAACAAAGTTTTGAAAGAAACAACCCAGAGACAAATCAGCCAAGGCTTCTAGTCTGTGCCAAGTGGGTTCTCTTTACAGCTGTGTGGCACTGCCAGAATACTGCAATATTACCGAAGCGAAGAGGCAGAGAGCCTTTATTTCCCTAGAAGTATTCCTGGGCAGAAGTCCACCGGACTGTGACAGTAGTGCTGTTTCAGTAAAGCTGTCAAACTGCTCTCTTGAGAAACTGGTTTCCACTGCACTGGAAATGGGCAAAAGAGCTTCCTGGCTTTAGAGTGTTAGCTGCTGTATCTGTTCTTTTTCTAAAGAGCAAGAATTCCTCCTGTTCTCCTGGCTTGGAAAGGTTTAAAGCTGAGGTGAGTGTAAAGCAGAACCTGGCTACTTGGTTTTGAAGTGACTCTTGATGACTTTGTGTATTTCAAAATGCGTACTGGCACTAGCGGTAGAAGGAACCTCCTGGCTTCTCTCAGTTGTTCAACTCTGTTTTAATGTGGGTGAGTGAGGCTGCTAATTTTTTTTTGTTTGGGTTTTTTTTTTGCCAACCACCAGCTACAGATTCTTTGTAACCTGATCATCTAGAATAAACACTCCACCCTAGGGCTCTTGGTAACTCCCTGAATGATGTTTTGACAGTGGCTGCTCTTGAATTGGAAGAACAACTGATAGCTGGAGTCTGTAGATAACTTTTATCCCCCAGCAAGAAACGGGGGCCTCTTGTGCCGGGATAAGGGCCTGTATCCGCTTGGTTCTGGGGTGTAAGTTGATCTGCACGAAGCACCTCGGGCTGTAAACATGCCTCTTCTGGACCCCTCCCCGCTCCTTCTTTGGGTGGTCACGTTCTGCACTGTTTGTGGTTTGATTTGAGCTAATAAGTTAAGTGGTGTGGATTTTGTTGAATAAAATGAACTCTAGGTGTAACGTACCAGTCAAGGCCAACAGTTGCAATAAATCGTATGCACACTTCACTAAGTGAACCGCCACGTCAGCGTGGAGCACAACACCGCGTGGTTGCACAGATTCAAATCTTGCCTTCCGGCTGCCAGATTCCATGCCAGGGAGCTGCCATAAAGCACCACCTAACTTAAGTGCAAGACTGACCCGTGTCTGCTGTATCCTCAGTCCGCCTGCACTTGCACAGGCTTTAAAAAGCCGACGTGCTCTCTCCCTCCGACACCGTGACTGGCCTGAGCACAGAGGCGTGTGTTTGGGACTGTGGGAGTCAGGTATCCCAACACACAAGATCATGGGTTGTGTCCCTGTTTAGAAAGTTTATGTCAATACATCGATGCTTGATTTCAAAGCAATAGGTGCCACATTATACAAGTGCTTCCTCCAGGCACGTACGTGTGTGCCCAGGGGAAGCTAGTACCAAAGAGTACACTTCACAAAACTCTGTATGCGGCTGTGAACCGGGGAGAGGGGGAGTGTAAGAACACTTCAACTGCTCCAGGAGGATAGAGGAAACACTCGCAAAACATTCTTTGAAAGCAGCTTGGCTTCACGCTTGGTCACAATTAACTACACTTGATGGAAAGACGGTACAGCTTGTCAAGAGAGCGCAAAGAAACTAAGACAAGATGCCGAAAGTGGTGACACACCTTGCTGTTAATGCTTTACGTGCACACTGGGAAATTACTGCTGAGGGTAGGGAGAGCAACTAAGTAAGAAAGATTCAAGTATGCAGTCAGCTCTTCACAGTACTATCGTTTCCTATTTGTAGTAGTCATTTTAAGCCATGGAACAGGAGTAACGACTTACTGTCTAAGCAGTACTGTTGTGTTCTATTATCTCTACATGTTTATAGTCAACTTTTCTTTGCATTGGGAAGAGAGACAGAAGGGCTGGAGCTGGTGTAGCTCACCTCCCCATCGCGAGTAGGGGAAAGCGGTGCGGGGAAGGCAGACCCGTCCCTCCCGCAGGGGCCGTCTCCGCAGGACAGCATCTTCAAGTCGTACCTTGTTTTCCTATGGATTCAAGAGATAATACCAGCAATGCTACTTTCCTCTAACTGATTGGTGTAAACTCAATAAATATCTAAGCAGTACTTGTACCTATGAGTTTTGTAACGGGTCGGGTGGAGTTGAGCCTTACAGCTCTGCCTCGCGTTCTGTGCAGTCTCTGCTCCCGTGTACGCAACTGGTGCTTTTGTGGCTCGGAGCAATGGGTAGCCCTATGGATAACGGGTGCGCTTGGTAAGGTAAAAAACAGTAAGATGTTAATGCTTTTTCTGTACTGGAGGAGAATAACTACATTCCTTGTCCGTGCCAACTGCCTAAAGCTCACTTCTACCTCAG